AATAACTACTCCTCTTAGGCTTGGTATTCCTTTATAGATTTGGAATTCCTTTTGCACATAACTTTGACAAAACACTTTGAGTCAACAATCTCCCCCTTTGTCAAATTTTTGGCAAAAACCTTGATCTCATAGTGGCTTGATTTCCTATTCTTCTCCCCCTTAGTTGATTCTTCTCTCCCTAAACTTGATTCCTGGAGTTCTTGGAAAAAAAAAAAACTTTGAAACTTTTATTTGAATGTGTGAGTGAAGAGAATTCTTCACTGTCTCTGTACATTTTACCAATGTGTGGTAAAGTAGATCCACACAGTCACAAAAGTTGAGGATTTGATCATAGATAAGTTCAAGTGGTTTTGGATCTTATATGGGCCCTAAGACATACCCAATCTCTTAAAGAGGCAGAAAAAATGAAACCCATTTTTTTTTTATATATATATATAACCATTGGGAACATCATTTATATATATTTCACAGACTATTAGGCATTGGTCGGTTCAAAGAAGAGACCTAATAATTTTGTCCATTTGTCATCAAATGATCATTTTGGAATCAAGCTTTCCACAAATTGGGAATTGTGTGAAGATTTGTACTGAAAAACAATGGGCCAAGGCTGAAGTCGGTGACCCATTACATGGTTGAAGCCCATTTTTATTGCCTGAATATTCTCTGTGGAAACAACAAAAATCCATCCGACAGCCACGGAATCTCAGATGCCTATTGATTGTATCTCAAAATTAGTCGTACATAAATCAGCTGTTTAGAGCACCTCGTTAGGAATCAGTTCAGCTATGGCTTTCCAATACTGTTTATCAGCTTCTTTATGGAACTTCTCTTGATTCCCTAGCTTCTTTAAAAGCTCAAGTCGGACCAACAAATTAAAGTTTTGGATCTGTAAATCAAACTTCTCCATTCACGCAGGGCAAAGCCCGCCTCATGCATTTCATTTGGAGGAGGAAGCACCGGGCCATCAGAGATGAATATTCCGGTGGAATCTTCTCCGAGATCATATGGATTTCCATTGCCGTTTGAAACCGGAACGGTAGAGGATCCGAAAGTTGGGTGCGGATCCGACCCGAATCCATAGGGATCGGGACTGTGGGCGGATTGAGGAAAGTGCTCAACTGTCACTTCATCGTACTCTCCCGGAAATCCTCCGGCTGATTGGTACGGTGGCGCGTATCCGCCGTAACTGCCGTCATCAAACGGTGGAGGAGCCGTTCTGACATGTTCATCCATGGTAGATACATCGAAGGTGCTGATTTCCCCGTATTCTTTTCTTGATTTTCCGGTGATCCTTCACACCAGGCTCTCTTCTGGGTTGTTGTGGTAGCAAGAAAATGAAGTCACCCGAAGACTCATGTCATTGGCTTCCATGGAGATTATTATAATAACCGGACAGTAACGGGTTTTGATTGGAAATCAGTCTCGTACTTGTATTCATTTATACAAACCCCTCTCGCATTTGGGTGCGCCCCAACTGTTCGACAGAATTTCGGAGTCATTGTAAGTGCAATCCAAACTTCATATTTTGTTCACATATGTCATAGCTCAACTTTATACCCCAATCATGTATATCTGTTACAGTTTTAAGGCTTCATCAATGTTTTTTTTTTTTTTTTGGGATCAAACTTGGAGGTGTGGCAGTATACTCCTTTTATTTTGTGGAAATCTTGTTTCTTTCCTCAAGTCTTTATTGTTTGATTGAGATCTCCCATGATATTTTCCAAAGGATGATTTTTCTGAGTAGAATGACTTTTATCCTTTTCTTCATTTGGCTCTGTTTCTGTTCTGCAATTCTGCATATCATTAGTCAGAGGTGTTGGAACAGTTGTTTCAACAACTCTTGGACTTTTGTCATCATCAGTGGTTATTGTTGGAGTTACATCATCAATGATCACACTGTTTGATGAATAGCCTGGGGATGCTCCTTGGTCATGAAAATTTATGTGTCCCATACGTTGGTGCCATAATTGTGTTTGACTGATGGTTGTCTGTAAACCGGATAGATCACTATCCCATGTGTAGCATTTGTTTGTAGACATTTTTCCCATCATGACACAATCATGATTCTGATTAAACACATTGCAACTGTCACTAGAGAACTCTACTTTGAGTTCATCTTCACAAAGCTGACTTATGCTGATTAGATTTGCTTTTAGGCTTTGTACTAAAAGGGCTTTTGACAACTTAGGCAGCCCATGGACATTCAAGGTACCATTTGCAATAATTTGTCCTTTTCCACCGTCTCCAAAAGTGACATGCCCTTCATTTTTGTACTGGATGTTCTCAAGATTTTTTGAATTTCCAGTCATATGCCTTGAACATCCGCTGTCAAAGTACCATATATCTTGCTCTTTGTTTGTTTTGGAGGTATATGCAACATTTTGGTCTTTTCTTACCCAGATTTTCTTACTATTATTTATGTTCTGTGTTGGCCATACTCTGTTGTTTTGTCTGTAGTAAAGATCATTTTGTCTCTTGTAGCAGTGAGCTTTGATGTGTCCTAGTTTGTGGCAATAGTAGCACCTTATTCTTCTTCGGTGTCGGAAGTGCTGTTGTGACACTTCCTGTGTCTCGGTTTGATGATTCTCACTAGTGTCTGTGCTTGGAGTCCTGGGTCTTTCGATAAGCTCCTTGATTTCTTGTAGTAGTTTAGCTTCTTTGTTTTTGAAGTCTAATAGTTCGTTTTGAGCTTCTTTGTATTGTTTCTCTATTCGTTCTTTTTCATTCTTCAAATAGTGATTATCTTCCATGAGTTCCAAATTTTTCTTGATTATTTGCTCCCACTTGGCATTTAGTTGAGTGTATGCCTCTAGTAACTCTTGCATGTCATCGCTATTGTTGCTTTCATGGCTAGCGGTGAAGGCTACGAAATTTGTGTTGCTGTCATCTTCTTCACTATCTGAGTCATCGCTTAGGGTTGTTATATATGTTTTATTTTTCCTTTTCAAGTATGTGGCACATTCTGATTGGATGTGTCCAAAACCTTTGCATTCATAGCACTGTATTCCTTCTGTATTTGAACTGTCTCTTCTTTTTGAAATAGATTGGTTTTGTCCAGTTGGGAAGTCCCCTTGATTGATTGAAGCACTTTTGTTTCTAAATTTGTTGAATTGTTTGAGAACTCTGTTGAAATTCTTTGTTAGGAGAGCGATTGATTGTTCTATGGTTTCAGTATCAATTTCTGGACTTCCTTTCTGCTTTGATTGGAACGCAATTCCTTTGTCATTATCTTTTCCTTTTTGCAGTATCTCAAGCTCATATGTTTGAAGATTTCCCATTAGATCACTCAGTTTGTAGGTGTTTAGATCTTTATGTTCTTGAATAGCGGTGACTTTCATTTGGAATCTTCCGGGTAGTGAGCGTAGTACCTTTTTGACGATCCTATGTTCGGGTATAGGTTCGCCTAAGTTGAATGCATCTCCGGATATACTTAAAACTCTGGCACTGAATTGGGTGATGCTTTCTTCCTCTTCCATTTTCAGGTTTTCAAATTCAGTTTGTATCATCTGAAGCTTAGATTGTCTTACAGTTGTGTTTCCCTCATGATGATCGCACAATATACTCCACGCAATTTTGGCTATGCGAGTGGAGGCAATCAGTTTGAAGGTATCTTCGCTCACAGCTCCATAGATTGCATTCATTGCCTTCGAGTTGAAGTTATATTCTGTTTTTTCTTCTTCACTCCAGTCAATTTTAGGTTTTATGTTCCCTTTATCATCAACTGGAGTTTTCCATTCGTTTTCTATAGCATTCCAAACACCTTCTCCTTGTGCCAAGATGTATATTTGCATTCTGGCTTTCCAGTAGGAAAAATTCGTGCCAATGAGGGCAGGTGGCCTAGTGCTTGACAGTCCTTCTCTGGGAAACTCCATTAGGATCTTGCTAATAACTTAAGCAGTTTGGCTCTGATACCAATTGAAAATTTGTAAAGCGCAGCACCGAAACTGAAGTTGTAACACAAATAATTTGTAACGCAGTTCGGGCAAACAACCCTAATCTGCGAGGCACTTCTCAATTTGAGAACTTGCCTAAATCCACTAAAAGCTCAATATTTAAAGTACACTGTTTGGAACCTGAGATTACACAATAGAATGATCTTTCCTACCAAACTATTGAAACCTAAACACATGTACTACTTTCTAGGGGAATTTAGTATCCTATTCTCAAAGACTCTCGTACCTCACAAGATTAATGTTGAATGCTTGAATTCTACAAGAAAGGACAACCCCTATTTATAGTAGTTATTCCTAACAGATTCGTGAATAATAAAGCTATTCCTAATCAGACTAGAACTAAAAACTTCAATAACACTTCCTTTTAGAACTAGTACTCTTCAATAACTACTCCTCTTAGGCTTGGCATTCCTTTATAGATTTGGAATTCCTTTTGCACATAACTTTGACAAAACACTTTGAGTCAACAAGTACTTTATATAAATCCACTGCTATTAGCCTTCTTTATCATTCTGTTTCTTGTGCATGCTACCTGATCTCTGCCTGTTTATACCTGCAATGAGTTAGGAAATAGACAAACCATAGTATAAAGCATACAAAAATCATTTATAAAAGTATCATAAGAAAGCACTTATACAAAGTGCATAATGTCTATGGCAAACAATCACCAATCACACATAATATGTACTTAGGAGTACATATTATCAAAATCCAGCTTACAAAAACAATGTCCACCCAAATCACCAATATTCAAACATCTTTGTCCATCATTTAACCACAGAACAGAACATTAATTTTTCTCCTGTTTAACCAAAACAGTCTTTGTTTTCTTTGCATCTCTACTGGCTGAAAATTGATCAAGTAAATTCCTTTTTGATGACACTGGCTCAAGTGGCTCGTCCTGTTCATCCAGCTTTTGCTTCTTAGCCTGAGTAGGATTGGGACTGCTTGCCTCATCACCCGATTCAGATTCCTGTTATAAATAAGAACCAAGAATTAGTTAGACTATGAAGTATCTAGTTTATTCAAATACTTACATCAGACTCGGCATCTGAATCATCTTCATTTAGCATCCTTGATAGCTGATCTTGATCATCACTTAAACAGGGACAGTAATGATCAACTAAGTCTGAATCATGTGCTATTGCAACCACAGGTATAGCTATTGCTTTATTCTTGAAGTGATCATTCTTAGCAGAAATTTTGAAGACCATAGCCTTATTACGGACCTCTTCCATACCAGTTGGGAGAGGAGACCCATCCTAAAAAAAAATAAAAGTGTTTAAATACAAACACTTTCATCAAAAAAAAAAAAAAAAAAAAAAAAAAAAAAAAAAAAAAAAAAAAAAACACTTAACAAAATTGTATAGTCAGCTTTTTTTGTTTGTTGTCTAAAAAATACCTTCGAGTATTTGCTCCTTAGATCAAATGCAGTCTTTCCAACTATCTTGCAGCACTCCTTGTCCCACAACAGAAAAGGAGCATCAGTGGTCTTATCTCCTACCCTCACAATGAGCCTATACCTTAGGTTTCCCTCTTGCCATGTTGTGCCACATGTTAGGCACTGTAGAGCCCCACTCTTCAAGTGCAATTTTCTAAAGCATCCCTCACTCCTGCATGAATGGTAATACCAATTTGTAGTACTCTCTACAGCAACAATCCTTCCAGGAACCCAGTAGTAACCTTCCTGTTAGTTCAAATTAAATAAAATTGAAAAATTAGGATTAAAAAAATCAAAATAGAATGTTAAGATTAAAATAAGTTACATTGTACCTCGGCTCTTTCATACAGATCCTCGATAGTAGTTACTATCAAAGGAGATTTTGAACTTTCTGCAGCATTTTCATAGCACATGTGAGACACAGTTTGCACACTTAGAGGTGGCCTGGTATCAACTTTCAAACTGCATAGTAAAGAACAAAAAAATAGTCAACATATTGATCTAGGAAAGTTGATTAAAAATACAAATTATGTGGAATTGCCTGTCTTTAAAGTCCTGAAATTCATTGCAAGGGTGATTAAACCATAACTGTGTTGCATTGTAGGAGGATGAAATTCTGAATTCATCTACATATTAGAAACAGAAATTTGTTAAAAAATAATGAATGTATATGTTAATGAATAAGTTATCATGCACTTACCATTCACTTTCTTTGCTCGACAGAGTTGGAGTAAAACAATCAAAGGACCTTCCACGTGGGTCTTGAAATAATGCATGGCCGTATCAACATGTTGATCCCAAACAGTACACTTAAGATGATTGCCCCTAAAAGTTAAATAAACAGATTGTAAGTAGATAAGTTATATTGTACTGAATAAATTTATACTGAGTTGATTGTTTAATGCTATTTTGCTTATAGAATATTTAATTTACTGCAGGTGTAACTACCCTACACCTCAAAGTGATATAATTGATGCTTTAAACAGTGGCCTGGTATGTATTTAACATGTTAAAGTCTAGTTTTTTAATAAATTTGAATCTGTCCTACTGGGCTAATACAGTGAAAAATCAACAAAAGCAGATTGGATGTTTAAATAGCACAAGACTTACAATGTGATTGAAAACAACATTAAGGAGTATAGAAAGAATCTGATAAAGATAAGTATTTTTTGTATAATATATATTTGAGTCGAATTACTTGATATCCACATTTGACTTTAGTAAGATTTTCTTATAGGATTTTCTTCTACAATCACAGATTTGAATACATACAATCTTTATGCTATTTTTCTTATAGAATATTTCATTTCACTGCAGGTGTAACTATAGTACTGATCAAAGTGAAAAATTGAATGCATTAAACAGTGGCCTGGTATGTACTTAACATGTTCAATTTCTTTTTTAAGATTTAGTTGAATCTGCCTTTATCTATTTGAATCAGTGGCCTGGTATGGATTGCCAGTTTTAGGGTGTATGTGTAATATATTGGTGACAAAAATATTATGCTACACATGTCCATTTTATAAGCAGTTTATAATTAGGAAAAAAAATGCAAATATTAATGCAGTTTTATATATGGACATAAATTTATAAGAGGAAGAATACTTACTGGCCATCTTCTATGAGAAAATCCACCAGTTTAGAGGGAAATCCAGCTATAAGAATCTCTTTTGGACTGTAGTACTCCACCACTCTACCAATCACATCTAAAAGGGGAATAGAAGGGTTAAAATGGAACAAAGTACAATGAAAACATAGGATATAGGATATAGGATATATAATATAGAGAAAATAAGTAATAGATCATACCAATGAGATGCTTTTCAGACACATTGCCACTCATTAAGTCAGTATAAGACTTAAGCCGAAACATTAGTAAGGGAAAACCCTTGCGCCTGTGTCTCTCAACAATAGTCTCATGACTAAATCTGATCATGTAGTTGTGATCAGTAGTTTTGTATTGGTAGTAGTGGGATATAACTGCAAAATCTTTGATGGCATAAACCTTCCCTTCTTTTAAAAGTTTAGAATACTTTTCCACGCAGTCTTTAGGGATGTTCCCATGAATGTATGTACCCTATCAACCAAGAACATATATATTGACTAACAAATTATACATTTCTTTTTGCAGTTGAAATTGAAAGAGAACTTACCTCACTGTCATGAAAGACACATTCCTGACTCTTGATGCTATCCGAACTGTTGCGACCTTCGGGTACCGTATAGGTACGAATCAACCGTAGCCTGATAGCTTTTTTGTAAGTAGATAATTTGATGTTTTTGCCTAGAATATAAACAGGAGCCATTTGCAGATATTCAGAAATTTGAAAGCAACCAAGAAAGATGAAGGAATCACTTAGACTGAAGGAGAGAATAATGGTAGACAATTATGAAGTTAGTACCAAGTATTTATACAGGCTTGGTGAGAAGTTTCAAATCAGCCATGATCTCTCGGTTGCCTCCCAAATGAGACTGCACATTGGAAGAACAAACGACGCATGGGCAAATTTAATTTGCAACTTCATATATATATGTTGTATCCGTTGTATGTAGATCGTAAAATCAATTGTATTTGTATTTGTATCGTATTGTATTACTTAATAGTTGTTCCTTTATTAGAGTCCCAATTAAATTGTTGGCAGCCGCATTAATATGAAAGGCGACTGACCACTTTCCCAAATAATTGGGACTCTAAAAAATGGCTGTTAATCATAGATTTATTCTTTCAATTAAAAGACAAACACAATTGATTTTCTGTATTCGTTTTTTTTATGTGTTTAATACCGAGAGAAAACCAAAACGGCGTAGTATAGTTTGAGCGGGAAAATGAAGCCATTTCATTGGCCGAAATCTTATGACTTTAATATATAGGAAGATAATATTCTTGCCAAAATATGCTTTCCTCTTTAAATATGTTAAGTATTGCATGTACTTTATAACTAATTATTAAGACATTCAATTTCTTTAATCAATTTAGATCGAGAAAGAGAATGCAATGGAATTTGCAATTGTTTTCCGTTAGTACAGTACTTTTACCTTTTTTCAATCCTTTTGCTATTTAAATATGTTAACCACATCAAGTCGACATTCATTTTCTTTTTCTTTTTTTTTTCAGAAATAAACATGACAACACTACAAGAAAAATGCACATAGACAACACTAGAAAGACAACAGTTTTTAAGAAAAGTGTTGTCTTTTGTATAAAAGACAACAGTTTGGTCCTAAACCGTTGTCTTTGATGCAACACTTTTGTCAAAGACAACGGTTTTTACTTAACCGTTGTTATAAGTGTGTTGTCTTTGTGCATTTTGTGAAAAGACAACACCACAACGACAACGGTTTTTTAAAACCGTTGTCTATGTGCGTTTTTTTTTTTTAAAAGACAACGGTTTTTTTAATCGTTGTCGTTGGTGTGTTGTCTTTAAGCGCACTAGAATACACAACACTAGAAAGACAACGATTTTTTAAAACCGTTGTCTTTGTGCGCTCTTTTAAAAAAAAAAAAAAAAAAAAAAAAAAGACAACGGTTTTATTTAACCGCTGTCGTTGGTGTGTTGTCTTTAAGCGCACTAGAATACACAACACTACAAAGACAACGGTTTTTTAAAACCGTTGTGTTTGTGCGCTCTTTTTTAAAAAAAAAAAAAAAGACAACGGTTTTATTTAACCGTTGTCGTTGGTGTGTTGTCTTTAAGCGCACTAGAATACAAAACACTACAAAGACAACGGTTTTTTAAAACCGTTGTCTTTGCGCATTATTATTTTATAAAAGACAACGGTTTTATTTAACCGTTGTCATTTATGTGTTGTCTTTAATAACACTTGAATAAACAACACTACAACGACAATGGTTTTATATAATCGTTGTCGTTGCGCGTTCTTTAGTTTTTTAAGACAACGGTTTTATTTAACCGTTGTCTTTGGTATGTTGTCTTTAAGCGTATTTGAATACACAACACTACAAAGACAACGGTTATAAAAAACTATTGTCTTTGCGCATCATTATTTTATAAAAGACAACATTTGTATAAAATATAAACAAGGATGTTAACAACAAGAGTTGAACCTATAACCTCAAACATAGCAATCAAAGTTTAACCAACTAGGCAACACAAACTCTTTTGTACTAAAGTGCAACATCTGGTATATAACTGGGTTGCTTCTGTGTTGTCTATGAAAACCAAGACAACGATTTTATAAAATAGATAAAGGATGCCTCTAGGAAGAATAAAACTCAAAACTTCTAACATGAGTTTGGTTCTATGTTGTCTCTAAGAACCAAGACAATGATTGTATATAGGTCAAAAATGCCACCAAGAAGGATAGAACCCATGACCTCTAACACAACAAATAAAGCTAAACCCACCAAGCCATATCAATTCTTGTTTACTAAAGTGTTACACCTTATCTTTTACCTATAAATTATAATTTGGACCTTCATTGTTTTTGTTACGAGATGAAAATAGATGTTTAGAAGATCTAGAACAAAAATAAAAATGTAATTAAATTTTTTTGTCCAAATATAATGCATAAAAATTTAACAAAGATATAATACAATTCAAAAGTTAATTTAATAGTTCTATTTTCGTTCATATTTAAATATAAAATTATTCACCAAAATTTCAATGTCAATTCATTAAAGTTTTATTTTCAATTCATTAAATTACATGCCATAGAACGACCCTGTGCGATGCACTGTGGTGTTCAGAATGGTGCGGTATGGTGTGGAGGGGTTAAGGGTGGTATGTTTGAACTCTATATTCACAATTACAGAACTTTATGTTCAAATTATGAATCTACTGTATAGAAATTATGAATCTATTGTATTTAAATTATGAATTTACTGTATTTAAATTATAAATCTACGATTTAGAAATTATGAATCTAGAGAAAAGATTTTATAAATCTACAGTGTAGAATTTATGAATCTAAAGTATAAAAATCTATGAATCTCGCGTTCTGTACCTATATACCCGGTACTATTTTGGGTCTAGCGACCCGGGTAATAAAGCTAATATTTTTTTACCCTGTTCTATATCTATATCGCCCAATTTATGGTGGACCCGGTCCCTATAAAACCATGAATATACCCGGCCTACAGGCACCCTAGTCTAGTGGTCTCTAGTCTATACACGGCCTCAACCTAGTCATTTGGGGTTCGATTCCTATTAGTAGCGCTAGCATAATTAGCTGTAGCCCATTCATTGGGTCGTGATCTTTGTATTTGGATCTTTATATTTGGGCCGCCAGCCTGGGCCTGTACCTGGGACTTTTAAGTATTATTTTAAGTATAGCGCCCCAGATAATAAAGTTACTATTTTCTAACCCCCGTTCTGTACCTATATACCGGTTACTATTTTGGGTCTAGTGCCCCAAGTAATAAAGCTATTATTTTCTTACCCCCGTTCTGAGCAATTTATATCCTGCACCAGGGCGCGCATTGCATTATGCGCCCTGATGCAAAACGACGTCGTTTTAGATTTTTTTTTTTTTTGAAATTTCGCTACGCCCTCTCTATTTTTTTTTAATTTTTTTAATTTCTTTCCAAAAAATAATTAATAATAATATAAACCTCAGCTAGTCAGCTGTACACTTAGGGAATTTTTTAGTTTCCCTCTTGTACATTTGGCAAATTTTTTTTAGTTTCCCTCCTATACTTAGCAAAATTGTTTAGTTTCCCTCCTACACTTAGCAAATTTTTTTTAGTTTCGCTGTCAGTCGACGTACACTCAAGCCTCAGACCTCACACCTCTGTTGCCGTCTAGATTCACCGCTGCCGCTCCGTCTCACACCTCCGCTGCCATCTCACCCTCGTTGTATTCGCCTTCCTCTGCCAGCCGTCGCCTCTTCCCTCCCCGGTCTGCCGACGTCGCCTCTTTCCTCCATTAACATGGTACAGGTTAGTCTTCAACCCTAGGTTAGTATTAATTCTATTGTTCAATTTTTCATATTTGAAACTTGTGAATGTTCTTGAACCCTAGGTTAATTGTTGGATTTTTCAAATGTATGTGATACAGTAAAGTGAGAAGATTCTATCCCGTGGACCTGTTCTTTGAAGCTTAATTGTCAAGTATGTAGATGGCAGTTGGAATTTTGTGCAGTCTCATTATGCAAGGCCAGCAAGGGGATTCCGGTCTTCTACCTTGTCCAGCTCTCAAGGCTGTATTAGAGCAGCGTCTTATTATTGCATTTTTTTAAAATTGCCATTACTTTCTCTATATGCTTTATCAGTTATGCTGAATGTAGTCATATGCATACTTCTTTTAATGTTTTGCTTCTAAATTCTAATTGATTTATAATTTTCATGTTAGGACATGTTGAAATCCAGAGCTTCCCTTCCTATTGCTGAGTTAAAAGGATGATATTTTGCATTCACTTGAAAAGAATGATATTTTGGTTGTTTGTGGGGAAACAGGTTGTGGTAAAACAACTCAGGTTCGAATTTGTTATGCCTTGTTTTGAAGCTTACTTGTTTTAGGTATCCAACCTCTGTTCCTTCTTAATTTAACTTTTTTCACACTTAACTTCTGAGCATGTCTGCATGGCTTCTGCAACTTCTGTAAATTTCATCATATTCTCCTTTCACCCTGCCCCCACCCCCACCCACAAAAGTTTGACTTGATTAATGATTTAACTTTTTTCATAAGTGGCGTTGGTTCTTTTTCACTTTTAAAAACGACATAATCAGATATTATCAACCTTAATGGTTTTAAGGAAAAATTAGATCAAAGAACCTATGCTTGAAATTGCCAGTTTAGCCAAAAGGAGAAGGTAAACAAAATGGAATTTATTTGTATATACTGCTCGTAGGATTCCTTCTGCACTTTTAACTCCTTGATGACATTGATTAATGTTAAGAATTCTTTTAAATAGGTAGTTTCTGTAGCTGAAAGAGTTGCCGATGAGCGAGTTGAATCTTCACCAGGTTCATATGATTCTTTGGTTGGCTATCAAGTACGTCTTGATAGTGCAAGGTAATGACTTGTCAAAGTCCATGTTTGTCAGTAATTGTTGCATACATTATACTTAATCTATACATCTCTTCTATTAATCTATGCTTTCTAGTTGGTAATTTTGCCTCTACCACTTGATAATCTGACATGATTATAATATTGCGGAGCAATGTAATTTTAAAATTTATTTGAAGTGCTGCACACAGTGAAATTCATTATATCTATGTACAACTTGCATAATGTTTAACTTGAGTTACTTGGTCTGGATTTTTAGAATGTCTAAGGAAAGGCATCTGCATCTTCCTTACTAATTACTACTTCGTAAATTGGTAAATGACAGTTTGACTTTTAAATACTTTTTGTTTACATATGGAGGAAAAATTATTTAAAAAAAAAAAAGAATTACCTGACTTAATATAGCTTGGGATAGGGTGGTAGATATACCCATGTTTCAGAGGCAATTATACAAGGCTGAGAAGTTTGTTGTGACTTGTGAATGCCAAAAAATTCCTTTTCTCTTTAAGCCTTATATGTGGTGAAAGGGACAAACTGCACAGCTTATAGTAAAAATATCTGAATTGAGTTGTGATTTCTCTAAGTGGCATAGATGGTAGTTTTGCTATTGCTCTTCTAATGGGGCCCATTTACAGATGTCAAATTTACTGTTCACATGCACAAACATGTACTACTGATAGATTTATCATGTTCAACAATTACGTATCCTGTCCTGGAAGGATAAAAATATACTGATTATATCAGACTTACATCAGACTCGGCATCTGAATCATCTTCATTTAGCATCCTTGATAGCTGATCTTGATCATCACTTAAACAGGGACAGTAATGATCAACTAAGTCTGAATCATGTGCTATTGCAACCACAGGTATAGCTATTGCTTTATTCTTGAAGTGATCATTCTTAGCAGAAATTTTGAAGACCATAGCCTTATTACGGACCTCTTCCATACCAGTTGGGAGAGGAGACCCATCCTAAAAAAAAATAAAAGTGTTTAAATACAAACACTTTCATCAAAAAAAAAAAAAAAAAAAAAAAAAAAAAAAAAAAAAAAAAACACTTAACAAAATTGTATAGTCAGCTTTTTTTGTTTGTTGTCTAAAAAATACCTTCGAGTATTTGCTCCTTAGATCAAATGCAGTCTTTCCAACTATCTTGCAGCACTCCTTGTCCCACAACAGAAAAGGAGCATCAGTGGTCTTATCTCCTACCCTCACAATGAGCCTATACCTTAGGTTTCCCTCTTGCCATGTTGTGCCACATGTTAGGCACTGTAGAGCCCCACTCTTCAAGTGCAATTTTCTAAAGCATCCCTCACTCCTGCATGAATGGTAATACCAATTTGTAGTACTCTCTACAGCAACAATCCTTCCAGGAACCCAGTAGTAACCTTCCTGTTAGTTCAAATTAAATAAAATTGAAAAATTAGGATTAAAAAAATCAAAATAGAATGTTAAGATTAAAATAAGTTACATTGTACCTCGGCTCTTTCATACAGATCCTCGATAGTAGTTACTATCAAAGGAGATTTTGAACTTTCTGCAGCATTTCCATAGCACATGTGAGACACAGTTTGCACACTTAGAGGTGGCCTGGTATCAACTTTCAAACTGCATAGTAAAGAACAAAAAAATAGTCAACATATTGATCTAGGAAAGTTGATTAAAAATACAAATTATGTGGAATTGCCTGTCTTTAAAGTCCTGAAATTCATTGCAAGGGTGATTAAACCATAACTGTGTTGCATTGTAGGAGGATGAAATTCTGAATTCATCTACATATTAGAAACAGAAATTTGTTAAAAAATAATGAATGTATATGTTAATGAATAAGTTATCATGCACTTACCATTCACTTTCTTTGCTCGACAGAGTTGGAGTAAAACAATCAAAGGACCTTCCACGTGGGTCTTGAAATAATGCATGGCCGTATCAACATGTTGATCCCAAACAGTACACTTAAGATGATTGCCCCTAAAAGTTAAATAAACAGATTGTAAGTAGATAAGTTATATTGTACTGAATAAATTTATACTGAGTTGATTGTTTAATGCTATTTTGCTTATAGAATATTTAATTTACTGCAGGTGTAACTACCCTACACCTCAAAGTGATATAATTGATGCTTTAAACAGTGGCCTGGTATGTATTTAACATGTTAAAGTCTAGTTTTTTAATAAATTTGAATCTGTCCTACTGGGCTAATACAGTGAAAAATCAACAAAAGCAGATTGGATGTTTAAATAGCACAAGACTTACAATGTGATTGAAAACAACATTAAGGAGTATAGAAAGAATCTGATAAAGATAAGTATTTTTTGTATAATATATATTTGAGTCGAATTACTTGATATCCACATTTGACTTTAGTAAGATTTTCTTATAGGATTTTCTTCTACAATCACAGATTTGAATACATACAATCTTTATGCTATTTTTCTTATAGAATATTTCATTTCACTGCAGGTGTAACTATAGTACTGATCAAAGTGAAAAATTGAATGCATTAAACAGTGGCCTGGTATGTACTTAACATGTTCAATTTCTTTTTTAAGATTTAGTTGAATCTGCCTTTATCTATTTGAATCAGTGGCCTGGTATGGATTGCCAGTTTTAGGGTGTATGTGTAATATATTGGTGACAAAAATATTATGCTACACATGTCCATTTTATAAGCAGTTTATAATTAGGAAAAAAAATGCAAATATTAATGCAGTTTTATATATGGACATAAATTTAGAAGAGGAATAATACTTACTGGCCATCTTCTATGAGAAAATCCACCAGTTTAGAGGGAAATCCAGCTATAAGAATCTCTTTTGGACTGTAGTACTCCACCACTCTACCAATCACATCTAAAAGGGGAATAGAAGGGTTAAAATGGAACAAAGTACAATGAAAACATAGGATATAGGATATAGGATATATAATATAGAGAAAATAAGTAATAGATCATACCAATGAGATGCTTTTCAGACACATTGCCACTCATTAAGTCAGTATAAGACTTAAGCCGAAACATTAGTAAGGGAAAACCCTTGCGCCTGTGTCTCTCAACAATAGTCTCATGACTAAATCTGATCATGTAGTTGTGATCAGTAGTTTTGTATTGGTAGTAGTGGGATATAACTGCAAAATCTTTGATGGCATAAACCTTCCCTTCTTTTAAAAGTTTAGAATACTTTTCCACGCAGTCTTTAGGGATGTTCCCATGAATGTATGTACCCTATCAACCAAGAACATATATATTGACTAACAAATTATACATTTCTTTTTGCAGTTGAAATTGAAAGAGAACTTACCTCACTGTCATGAAAGACACATTCCTGACTCTTGATGCTATCCGAACTGTTGCGACCTTCGGGTACCGTATAGGTACGAATCAACCGTAGCCTGATAGCTTTTTTGTAAGTAGATAATTTGATGTTTTTGCCTAGAATATAAACAGGAGCCATTTGTAGATATTCAGAAATTTGAAAGCAACCAAGAAAGATGAAGGAATCACTTAGACTGAAGGAGAGAATAATGGTAGACAATTATGAAGTTAGTACCAAGTATTTATACAGGCTTGGTGAGAAGTTTCAAATCAGCCATGATCTCTCGGTTGCCTCCCAAATGAGACTGCACATTGGAAGAACAAACGACGCATGGGCAAATTTAATTTGCAACTTCATATATATATGTTGTATCCGTTGTATGTAGATCGTAAAATCAATTGTATTTGTATTTGTATCGTATTGTATTACTCAATAGTTGTTCCTTTATTAGAGTCCCAATTAAATTGTTGGCAACCGCATTAATATGAAAGGCGACTGACCACTTTCCCAAATAATTGGGACTCTAAAAAATGGCTGTTAATCATAGATTTATTCTTTCAATTAAAAGACAAACACAATTGATTTTCTGTATTCGTTTTTTTTATGTGTTTAATACCGAGAGAAAACCAAAACGGCATAGTATATTTTGAGCGGGAAAATGAAGCCATTTCATTGGCCGAAATCTTATGACTTTAATATATAGGAAGATAATATTCTTGCCAAAATATGCTTTCCTCTTTAAATATGTTAAGTATTGCATGTACTTTATAACTAATTATTAAGACATTCAATTTCTTTAATCAATTTAGATCGAGAAAGAGAATGCAATGGAATTTGCAATTGTTTTCCGTTAGTACAGTACTTTTACCTTTTTTCAATCCTTTTGCTATTTAAATATGTTAACCACATCAAGTCGACATTCATTTTCTTTTTCTTTTTTTTTTCAGAAATAAACATGAGAATGCAATTTCAAATATATATATATATATATATAGGGATGCACTCAGGTGCGAATAAGTGCCCAGGAAGGAATATGCGAACGAATCAACGCACGACACGTATCCAGATCTAATAACTTAAAAAAAAAACACGGTGGCATTTTCGTAAATAATTGAACATCGAACTGCAAGTAAAATCACTTACAACTGCACCTACTTTCACCTATAAGTGCATATAATTTTGCCTTGTTAGCATTCACTTCATGCAAACATTCATGCACCTGGGTGTGCTTATAAATGTAGGTGCAACTATTTATAACTATAGATGCAACTACTTATAACTATAGGTGCACCTACTTTCACCAATTTTGCCTTGTTAACATTCATTGATCTGAGTTCAGCGGGTAGTAATACCCCTGAAAAGTACTCGCAAACATTCATGCACCTAGATGCAACTACTTATAACTATGTGTGCAACTACTTAGAACTATAGGTGCAACTACTTATAACTATAGGTGCACTTAGTATTGATGCTCGGTGCAAATTTTTACTTGCACCTATAATACATTTTACATGCACTTGTAATACATTTTACTTGCACTTCGATGTTCAATTATTTACAAAAATGCCACCGCACTTTTTTAAAAAATCAGTGTTTCTCATCCATTAGATCTAGACACGTGGACGGACAGAATCCATTCCTATTTCGCGTCTGGGCGAATCATTTATATATATATATATATATATATATATATATATATATATATATATATATATATATATATATATATATATATATATATATATATATATATATATAGAGAGAGAGAGAGAGAGAGAGAGAGGAAGGTTCAAGTGCAGCAGTGCACTTAGGTGCAGCGGTGCGGTTAATTATAGGCCATTAGATTAGATAAATCCAACGAATCACATTTATCAAGGCTTTTCCGATATTTTCGCGCGCGTTCTCACAGTACGCGAACTGCAAGGTTAAAGTCGTCATTAGGCACCAGAATATATCAAATCATAGTGTTGTGTGTTTTATGTTCATTATTGGTGCATTATTAACTTTACTGTGGTGTATTTGAGAATTTGTGTTGGTGCCTTCCCGAGTGGTCAGTGCGACCGCACTAATAGTTATACAAATATACACCATCCATGTTAGAAAATGCACACCAAAAAAAACATGCACAAATTCGATACGCATCACCAAAACACACCACTAGGTATGACTAAAAGCATCACACAGTGTTCAGAATACATCATTGGGGTGATGAGTTATATGGTGTATTTTTTGGGTGTGTTGTGTATTTTTTGGTGTATTTGTGCATTTCATTGTGGTGCTTTTTCCTAACACTATTGGTGTATTTTGTTAACAGTGTTGGTGTATACTGACAAGCGACCGATATAAATAACCAATACAATTACCATAACACCCCCCACTTACCAGGACGCGCTTAAATCTTTAAATCTTCAGAAATTAGCCACTGCCGTTAGATTAAGCAGAATGGACGACGCTAATATGACCGCACCGCCGCACCTAAAGCCACTGCCGCATATGAGCCTTATTCTATATATATATATATATATATATATATATATATATATATATATATATATTTGTTGTATTTTCCACACCATGTAGGAGTAGATATAGCGTGGATTGGAAACACGAAACAATTGTGTCTCACCCTCCCTATATAAATAGACTCAATTCATTGGATCATCACCATCTACTCTCATCTCATCTTCAAGCAATATGAAATCACTAACAATGTTCTGGATTTCCATACTAATGTTCATTTCCTCTCCATATGTGATTCATTCTCAGCCTGGTGTAGATTTCCCAATCATTCTCAATCTCCAGCATGCCTCTGGCCCTGAAGACACTGCTATTGATCCACTAGACCAAGGAATTTATACCGGTGTTACTGATGGCAGAATCCTCAAATATCTGAATGGGAATTTCAATGATTTTGCTACCACATCGCCTTACAGGTATAGTAAGTGTTCGCCATGTTAAGTAGGATGCATATGTCTTGCCAGCACGGGCTTAACTCAATGTTTAGTAAGTAATATTTGGGAGAAGAGATCAATATTTGAACTTTGACGGTGTCAATGTTAGGATTATGTCTAAAGTGGACATGGGCAGATTCCTTGTGCTCACTGGCATTTTTTCATGTCTGTTAGTCATTAAGTCGCCGTGATTTACATCCCCAAATACTCTGTGGGGCCCTTGGGGTTGGTGATTCAACCGTACCTTTTGGGAGAAGGATGCATGTCTTGCATTTATATAATAGAACTGTATTTTGAGTCACTTGTGTGTGAGACTATCCCATGGATCTTAATTCGTGAGATAGGTTGAATCTATGATAGTTGTTTATTACTTATGATAGAAATTATAATACGATAAATATTGTAATACTTATAACTAAAATCATACCTATTTGTCTACAACTCGATCCGTCTCACACACAAATATCCATGAAACGGTTTCACACAAGTTTTTGTCACGGGCTCAGACAAGTTTTTACCTCTATATTGTGACTCTCCTATGAAACCGGCCCCTCACATATGCTTATCCGTGAGACGGGTCGAATGAGAACAATATAATACTTTTAAATCAAAATGTAAAAGTATTACATTTTTTCTTAACAAACACTTTATTCCTGACAGAAGTTTTAATTATAATTGAATTATATTTTGACCATATCAGGACGAAGGAAAAATGTGATGGGATCAACATTACAAATATACGAGCCGAATGTGGAAGACCATTGGGTCTTGACTTTGATCATGCTCGTGGTGTGCTCTATGTGACTGACATGTTTTATGGACTTCTAAAGGTGGAAAGAAATAATGGTGGGCTTGCAACTCAGCTAGCAGCCGGCGTTAATGGCAGAAATTTCAGCTTTATCGATGCTGTAGCCGTCGATGAATTAACTGCGGACGTGTATTTCATAGATGCCGGCGACATATTCCGATCACTGTACCATATCATAATACTCACTCTCAAAATATACATTATTAACTCTTAGGATCAAGCGCGAAGGCGCAACTTACATTATTAACTGAATAACTGTTAGGATCAAGCTAAGCGCAAAAGGTGAAATTTTATTTTTTTTTATAGACTATTTTCACATTTTCCATATGTTGGGTGCTAAATTTGGCCCTTTTAAACCATTTATTGGTCCTTTATCAGCCTCGACCCAACAGTCTCTCAAGGTTATTGCTGGGGCTCGAATCTGTGACATGGCTCAGAAATCACTTGTTAGAGCACCTATAATGATTTCCCTATCACTTTTAGACAACCATCATATTTCGAGAAGCTGGGTGCTAGACTTGGACTTTTAAGTCTTTTACCAGCTCTTTACCCCATCTGCTTGGACTTGAACCCACTTGTTAGAGCACACTTACTAATTTCCAGTGTTGCAAAAATCGGGCCTAGGCGCCCTAAGTGTTCCCATGCACCTAGAGGGCACCTAGCAATTTTTTCAACATTGCTAATTTTAATGGTTTACTTATCACTTTCAGACCACCATCACATTTTCGAGACGCTGGTGTTGAATTCAACCTTTTAAGTTGTTTACCAGCATTTTATAGGCCCTTTATTGACTTCCGCCTTAACAATTTTCAACCATCCAGGACTAGACTTGACCAGTAGACCTCCGCCCTACATTAACAATCCCACTTACTACCATTAACAACAAATTAATTAAAACGTTGGCTATCTTAATTTGCAGCAACTATACGCAAATAGTGCAGAGCGGCGACACGTCGGGGAGACTGCTAAAGTACTCGGCGGCCAAGGGACAAGTAACGGTGTTGCTAAACGGGCTGTCGGGGCCTGCCGGGATGGCAACGGACATAGACCAGACATTCATTATGATCTCTGAGTACATCGGACGCAGGATTATCAAGTATTTCATTAGTGGTCCAAAGGCTAATACAACCCAGACCGTGATGGAAAACCTTGAAGGATATCCAGACAACGTGAAGAGGGGGACATTAGGGGGTTTCTGGGTGGCTTTGAACATCCCTAAACCTCAGCAGCAGCCGCCGCCGCCTATTCCTATGACGGACTCCATTGCGGTGAACTTCGACATGGACGGCAATATTGTGAACACCAAGAATGTGACTGATACTTTTCCTAACTCATTCAGTGGGTACCAAGAATACTCTGATATAGCTTATGTCGGATCATTACTGTCGGACTTTGTTGCTGTTTATACCGCAATATGAAGTCTCCGTCTAGCTGCTTACATAAAGTGATTTCAAATTTTAAAACCAAAATTTAAATCTTACTCTTTAAATTCTACTCTTTATGTGACGGGTACTAATAAGTTATTTTTTTTTCATATGGGTCCTAATATGGGTGTTTACATCAGATTTTGTGTGTGGGAGTAAAAGTTAAGGGTAGAAAATATGAGTCTATAGGGAGTGTTTGGTAAATAGTTATTAGCTGATTGGGTTAGTGGGTTTGATTAGTTGATAAATGATAACATTAGCTGATTGTAGAAAAGTGTTTGGTAAATTAACTATTAGTTGATAGCTGAATACATGCAAAATGACTTTCTTAAAAAAAAAACTAATAGAAAAAACTGTTTTGAGCATCTTTTTTAATTTTAGAATTTTGGAACAATATCATGTTACAAAAAGCTAATAAATCAAACACTTATATTGAATATTTAACCAAGCCAAACAACTAATAATGATCAAATACGTTAAAATTGATCGATAAGCTAACTATGTTACCAAATAGCATGTATTTTCCATTAAATTCCGGTGAGATTCCCTAACGTGTTTGAAATACTTTCTCAAATCAAATTGAGCATGTCTCCAATTATTAACCATACATATTATCTCTGAATAGATTATGTTGGGCGCAGTAAGAGGTAAGTCCAGCACTATGTGCTAAAGGATTATTGGGAACGCCGGTGAATGGTTAAGTTCAGCATCCAGCATCTTAAAAATGTGATAGTGATCTTTAAAAAAATTTAGTTGCACAAACGCTACTACTCTAATACCCTGGCATGAGTTACACATACATTTGCATCTCTTGGTATTTTGTTCAACTTATAGCATGCATTACAGGATGCATACGTGGTCAGATTACTTAGCTTCTCACTCTCTTGTCTCTTCCATATACATCAAATCAATTAAGTAGTCAAACTTTTTAATGCATTAAGAATTGAATAATAGCACATACTTTTTCAAAATAAAAAAGGAAAAATGGTACTTTTTCCCCCTGAGTTATATACTTATAGTTATTTTTCTCCCTTAATTATTTAGGTAAGCACATTAGCCCCCTCAATTATTTTAAAAGTGGTGGTTTCTCCCCCTGATATATTAAATTGACATTTCTACCCATAAAGTAAACATTTTATTTATTTTACTTCTCTAACAAATTATCGCGTATACGTAGGGATGACCACGGTTCAGATCAAACTGAACAGGACACTATAGCAATTGAATTAAAAGTTTCCGGTTATGATTCAGATCTAGAACCTAATATTTGGATTTCAATTTATTAAAATTATGAATAAAAAAAATTGGATCTATCCGGTTCGCGATTTTGAACCGTCTTTATTTTAAAATTTTATTTTTTATTTTAAATAGTCTAAATTCAACAATAAACGTATTTTATTTTTTCAGTTCGGTACATGAATCGTCCGTTCCGGTTTGCGATTTTAATAAACTCCAAATATCGAGTTTCGATTCTAAATTGTAATTGGAATGTTCCGGTTTGGTTGCTATAGTGTTTGTTTGGCTTGAACCAAATTATTGTCATAATTTGTTGGAGAAGGAAAATAAATGAAATATTTATTTTAAGGGTAAATATGTCCATTTAACATTTCAGGGGGAAAAACAGCCACTTGAATAATTCAGGGGGAGAAGTGCTATAAGTATATAACTTAGGGGGAAGAAGTGCCATTTTCCCAATAAAAAATAAAAAAATCTTTAACTATAATATAGTCATATGGTTTAGTGAGCAATAATTGCTCACCAAACTATATGATTATATTATAGTTAAGATTTATTTATTACATGGTGCATAAAAATTTAAATTAACCTTAATTCATTTTCATCTCTCTTGCCTCATCTAATCCATCCAAAAACTTACAAATAAACTTCAATTGAGATTATTCTAATGAGGTCAATCTTAAAATTTTAGTACATAGTATTTAATATTACAAATTTTCAAGAACTTAGTAAACTACAATAGTAATTGAATTACAATTTTCAGAGTCACCACGGATCAAAATTTTTAGACCTTTAAAATTTCTAACAATTTTCAGAGTCACCACGGATCAAAATTTTAGACCTAAAATTTTTGATCCGTGGTGACTCTGAAAATTGTAATTCAATTACTATTGTAGTTTACTAGGTTCAATTCTTAAAAATTTGTAATATTAAATGCTATGTAATAAATTTTTAATATAATTTAAGATTTGTAGTAATCACCCACCTTAAATACCAATTCTTATTTTAATTGTAAATATATTTATGTTCATAATTTATCATAGCAATTCACACATAATTATTAAATAACAAAATTTTTATATATGAATAAACATCATATATGATATATTTTTATAACATATTTTCTGTGCATCGCACGGGACAAATACTAGTAATAATAATAGCACACACTTATCATATATATATATATATATATATATATATATATATATATATATATATGATAAAACTACGTGCAACACAATAAAAACTTAAATTAAAAATCCGAAATAATTTTGAATTGTTGCACACTTGCACTGATCTCCTGTGAGATCGTCTCACAAATTCTTATTCGTGAAATAAGTCGGTCAAGATAGAAATGTAATATTTTTATTGAAAAATATAATACGGAGTATTAATAATGAATAAAGTGTTTGTTATTTATAATGAAAATTGTACTACTTTTGAGACAAAATGTAATGCTTTTAAATCAAAATATAAAAGTAACAAATATTTTATTCATAATTAGTATTACATTTTTTAATATAAGTATTAGATTTTCATTTTGATTCGATCCGTACATCTTATTGACAAAGATTCGTAAGACGATCTCACGTAATTTCGTTACCTTGCCCTACTAGCAACAAACATAGAAGATAGAACTCAAAGAAGTTGACATCAAGGTTGTTATACCTTCGGACCTTCCTCCATCTCTTATTTTCTTTTTCTTTTTTTTCTTTCTTTCGATCTTACGCCTGAAAATACTCTCCTGCCAATAAGGCAAAAATAAGGATCATGCTAGACTCTCTTCCACTTTTCACCATATTTTCTTTATAGACTGAATTGGAAATGTTTTCTATCAATAACAATGTTTTGACTATTCAACTTTTTTAAGTGAGTCATTTTAATTTAATAATATCAAAAAAAAAAAAAAAATCGAAATGCTATGGCAGGGCGTTTGGTTGGAGTGGGGGAATTATGTGGGAAAGGAATTGTAATTCCATGGGAGTTGAATTACTGGGAATAAAGTGGGAATTTAAATTCCAGTGTTTGGTTGACAGGAATAGAATTACTGGGAATTTCAATTTCAATGTTTGGTATACATGAGAATTGAAAAGGAATAAATAGTATAAAGTCCAAAATGTCCATTGTTGTTGTTAAAAGGAAAGATCAGACATTCATTTTAGGTTAAACAAGAGAAGGGTAATTTTGTCTCATCAATATTTTTTTTCTTTCTAAAATCCCAGGAATTAAAATCCTAGGGGGGGGGGGGGGGGGGGGGCATGGGATTTTAATTCCATGAAAATGGGGGAATTGCAATTCCATGGAATTGCAATTCCTTCCAACCAAATTACGGAATTTTATGGCCTTTGGAATTAGGTGGGAATTAAGTGGGAAAGGAATTTAAAATCCCTCCAACCAAACGCCCTGTGGGAGTTGGAAAATACTGCGTGCCAAACTTCCGCGGAAAAGGAAATAATATTCTTGCCAAAATATGTTTTCCTCTTTAAATATGTTAAGTATTGCAGTCTAGCCTCTGTGGTTCATGTTTAGTTGAGTTACCATGATTTACATCATCCCAGATGCTCTGTTGGGACGGGGTGTGGGAGTCTTTAGGGTTGGAGTTTAACTTTTTGGAAGAATGTACTATATAACTAATTAAGACATTTAGTCAATGACATTGAGATCAACTGGAATGAAATGATTCTCTCAAATTGGAATTCATGAGTTTGAACCCTTACTTGTACTTCAATAAATTGAGAAAGTATATTATTACATTTTAATAGAGAGTTAGTAGTGAAAAAAAAAAAAAAAATTGCAATGGAATTTGCAATTGTTTTCCGTTAGTACAGTACTTTTCCCTTTCAATCCTTTTGCTATTTAAATATGTTAACCACATCAAGTCGACATTCATTTTCTTTTGAGAAAATATAATATAATGCTTGTTTTCCGTTAGTACAGGACTTTCCCCTTTCAATCCTTTTGCTATTTAAATATGTTAAGCACACCAAGTCGGCATTCAATTTCTTTTAGAGAAAGAGAATTTAATGTTATTCCAAAATGGAATTTGCAATTATTTACCGTTAGTAGGGGTGTTAGCGAACAGAGCTTTCAGTAAACTACTTGTGTTTGTGTTCGGTAAGCGTTTGTTTATGTTCGTTTGTTAAGGTAAACGAACATTAACAAACAAAATTTAGAGCTTGGTTAATAAACGAACAGAGCTTGAACAGTTCTAAGCTCGTTTGCTAAGAGATCGTGAACAAGCTCGTTTGTGTTCGTTTACTAATGTTCGTGAACAAACTCGTTTATGTTCGTTTAATAATGTTCGTGAACAAGCTTGTTTGTGTTCGTTTAATAATGTTCGCGAACATGTTCACAAACATATATATTATATTATATTATATTTGTTATGTAGTTGTGTTATTTGTTTGATTATTGTTCGTGAACGTAAATTATTTATTGTTCACGAACGAATTGTGATCAATAACATGTGCAGGTGTTTGTTTATTAAGTGTTCATGAACGTAAATAAATATGTTCGTGAACGTGCTTGTTAATGAACGTGTTTGTTAACATTAACGAACACGTTTGCGAACGTGTTCACGAATATTAACAAACACGTTCGCGAACATGACACGTTCGTGAACGTGTTCGCAAACATGACACGTTCGTGAACGTGTTCGCAAACGTTAACGAACGCTTAACAAACGAACACGAACAGGGTTTTTAAAAACCTTAACAAACGAACACGAACACGAACATAAACGAACACGAACACGACCGTTCGTTTATGTTCGGTTCGTTAACAGCCCTAACCGTTAGTATAGTACTTTACCTTTTCAATCATTTTGCTATA